ATTTTTTTTGCACACAAAAATTTGCAACTTTTTTCACAGTTCTTATAAGTTTTTACTTCCCTAGCTCTGCGAACTATACTCTTTACATTTTGATATGCTTGGCCACTTTGGCATAACTTTTTGTTGATATTTCGGCTCCAAGCATCTGGATTGCGTGACCGTTTTCTTGTTAGCTTTTTACCTTCATTAGGCTCATTTACATCCACCGTATCTGCAGTAACATGAATGCTCGAAACGTTTTTATCTTTGACTTCAAGACTTGCTTCTTCATTTCCACTAAAAGAATGGTGGAAGCCCTCTTCTTCTGCTGGCAAAAAGTCTGGATCCGCATCAGAATCGTCACTCACATGAAAGGGATCTAGCTCTGTATCACTAAAATAAAAATAAATTCTACTGCAACACTGATATTACAAAAATAATAAAATAAAGAATCAATGACGTTAACTTTTTGGTTTACCCCGGTATATGCATATATTCTAGTTTTTATTTAAAATATAGAACAGCCGACACCATTTTTTTAACTGTAAAAATAAAGAAAGTACAATGGGGCTTTTGAATATATCCTTTAAAGAAAAAATCATAGGTTAGACACTATTTTTTTATTAAAAAACTAAAAACATACAAAGAATACTTTTTGTATCACTCTGTATATGCAAAAATAGTTTAAACAAAACAGATAATATACAACGTTAAATTTATATGCGAATCGTTTTTTCAAATTTAAAAAATTACCAATATCTGCTGTACATACTTATTGCATGAAAATGTATTTTGAGGTTATATACATCAAAGTTAAATATTTCATTGTTTAGGAACTATATTTATATTCAAATAGAATGAAAAACTCATTTATACATACCTTAATTCAACGCCTTCCATTTTTACAGAATTAACTTTACAAAAACAACTTAATCAGGCTAAGTTCATTATCTTCGACACACAAACACAACGTGGTTCTTAGACGAAATTATAATGTTCTAACAGCAGAAATACCTGATTGCTATTGGTCGCATCTGATAGAACATTATAGTATTAAGCTATTTTTAAATTTGTCATTTAGAACAATTTAATATTGACTAAATCTAACGATACGATCAAATATTTATGCAGGAGTCGATTTTAATAGAACAATATGGCATCCCTTAAGCAAATTCTGTACATATCTCGATTTTCACCAAAAGTGCTGATAGAACATTATAACACTCGACCGACGAACACCTGAATTAAAAAACGTGTAGCGACGGACTGTTTTATTTATGTTTAAAGATTGCTATTTTGACAAGGGTATTTTTTAATAATAAAAATAAATATTCTAAAAAAGAATTATTTTTTCTATTAATTCAATAAACACATATAACTCGAAAGTCCGAGGAAGAAGAAAAAGAAGAAAATAAGTATTTTAGCTCAGATGAAGTACAAAATTAGGAAACAGAATTAACTTAATTTATATTTTTATACTGTAATAAATTTAATTTTTTCAATTTATATTTGCAAAATTTATTTTTTAGTACGAACCATGATACTATGATAAGAAGATAAGATATTGCGCATAAGTCGTGACGTCATTGGAGAGTTGCACGTTCGAAATTTCAGTTTTTTGTATGTGTCAATAAATAATCTTTAATAAATAGATTGGAAATATCCTTATATGTACGATTATTGTAATTATTAAACCTCTTAACTTATTTTCGTCTAGTAATTTCAACACAGAATGCATACAAATCCCATTTAACTTTAACAAGAATTCAAATTCTACTCTCCAATGACGGCATGCGCGAACACGACCGATTTTGGGCTACGGGAAGATACTATCTTGTTGTTCATAGTATCATGGTACGAACTACGTTAATTAATAACAATATATTTGAGTCTGGAATATATAATAATTACTCCGAAATTTTGAAGCAGAAGAACATGGGTATCGTCAGGTCACGTGATTTTAGAAGCCAATGGAATCGCTGAGATTGAGGACGCAAACGGCTGTCGATATAAGCTCTCTCTCACACTGTAGCTTACCTATAGCGTTTTTCACTCACACGCACGCTTAATTTTTTTGATCACCGGTAGGTAGAAAACATCAGCAAAATTACCTGTCTTTTTAGAATATTTATTTTTAATATTAAAAAATACTCTGACAAAATAGCAACTTGCCTCAACCATATTTTTTGTATTTATTTACAAAACAGTTTTGCAAGCATCCTGCTGAGTTACAATCACTAGCAAATCGCATGGCTTGTTTATTTTATTTTGAATGTTTAAATTTACTTTAAAAACAAGTTGCAAGCTATCTACAAGATATTCTTTGTAATAAAAATCTTTACATGTTTTTTTCATTTAGGTGTTGTTAAATGACCGCTACCCTCCAGCCAAGTCTGCATTTTTGTTTGAGGATATTATGCAAGACTGGTATCTGAAAAACTTTCAGAATACCTCAAATACCTACCCAAAAATGTCTACCAGCTCTAGGACGATTAAAAATATGTTATTTGGCATTTCGACTTCTAGCTCGGAAATTATTTTAAAAATATAAAACGTCATATTTTAATTGCATTTGTGGTTAATTCCCAAACAAATAATCACAAAAATATTCTTGGTTTGTAATCAACTTCGAAATAATTTAAATTTATTCGCAAGGGAGACAGTGAAGGCTGACTTAAAACTTTGTTGACATGACATCCTAGCTTAGATAATAAGTTTTGTCCTACAAAAATATACCTCAAACCATCCTCAAAATCCAAAAATATATATTAGTACACTTACACCTTTTAGGACACTACTTACTAGTCTACAACTAAAAAAAATATTTAACGTGTAACGGTATTTGATCAATAGGGGCAGTTTATAGACCAGTCAATTACCCAAGTAACTTATTACGACAGTGTCATGATGTGTATGTGGGGTTGGAATATTGACTGCCAAACCTACAGTTTCATTCAACAAATCATATTTGACATGATTTTTAAGACAAAAAAATAAAATTAATTCAAAAATAATGTTTTATTCCCATTGACAGACCATTTTAGTAATAAATAATCATCGACAATTTGACATTTTTTGACAAGGAAAAATTATTAATTCAAAATATTTACAGGAAACGTGAAGGAAACTTGCTAAAATGCGCACCACATATCACAACAACATGGCGTCTGTGGAGTTTGTATATGTTTTGTCACAAAACATATGGTGAAAGATAAATGATCCATTGGTCATGACAACTCGCACGTCACGACCGGATCGATATCAACGGGGATACACGAACTCAAATACGAAAAAAGAAGAAGAACGATCCTGTGGCGACATTCCACAGCGGCTATGACGTCATCGGTTTCGATCCTGACTAACTGCTTCTGAACCCTGCTATTTCGGCCGGTAATGTAGATCCAATACTTACCGCCATTGATGCCAGTGACGTCAAAATGGAATTTTAATCGTCTCGAAAAACAAATAGAAGAAAAATGAGACCTACCGGACCGCCTGGGTTATATGGGCATAAACAGGTTAGTAAAAGAGAACGAAGCATGCAGGCGTAGGTGGATGGTGGTAATCTTACTGGACACCAAAAACGCATTCAACAACGCGAGCTGGGGGAAAATCATCAAACTATTTAGAAGAAATGAAAATAACCCCATATCTTGAGGGATTATTTCACAGAGGGAAGCATTAATATAACTAAAGATGACACAATGACATCTACAAGAGTGCCACGCTCGGTAATAGGCCTGCTGCTCTGGAATGTACTCCATAGCGACATACTGGAGATAAACCTAGGAAAGGGAATACAGACAATTGCTTACGCAGACGACCTGGTTATGTTGAAGGAACACTTCGAGAATAGGCCCATAATGGATAGGGTAAACACACCCTTGAATTTGTTACGATGTTGCTGGGACAGAGAGAACTGACGCTAGTCACACAGAAGATGCTATAATCTTTAAGACAACAAACAAAGCTTCAGTGAACATGTAATATATGCCGCTAAAAAGGCCGACCAAAGAACAGCAGCGCTAATAAAGTTCTGCTGAAAAAATTCTGCTGAAAATGTCAATTTTGGGACCCCAAAAAAGATGCAGAAAAGATTTCCGCTCCTACCCCCGGACTTTTCCCTAAAATCCCCTCTCATAATTTTTGCATTTCGCCGGAAATGAAGTCAGTTTCTATAAAGCTGAGTGTTGGCAACAAATATAAGGTATTTGAAATGTATCTAAAATACGGTTAATTTAAAACATTTGTTTGATATAAAGAGTTGATATAAATTTTTTTTATAAAATTTATTTCGGACACATTTGAAATCACCGATCGCTTCAAGCGTTGTTTCTGAGAGAACGGTTCATTCTAATGCTAATTTAACAGTATTTTTCAAAATTATCTCAGCTACATTTTTTGTTTAAAAAACTTTTTTCTACAGCGTAAGTACAGTAACTCGATGTTTTCCATCCCCCCTCTACGATGAAGTTTTAGGGGGAAGACCAGGTGTAGGAGTTTTGTGCACCTTTTTTAGGTCTAATATTGACATTCTCAGCAAAATTAAGTTTGTTCGTTTGACTTTTGAGGTCAAATCTCTAACAACTGGACTATTATAATATTTAAATTTATTATTTTTATACGTTTCTTATTTGTAGCAGAATTTTTTTAATTTTTGACTTGGAAAGTTGTCACTCAGCTGGTTGCAATCAACATCAGCTTTATGAAAGAATTTAAATATGTCGATTAGTAAAACATGGTTACCTAATATAATATCTAATAATTATAGAATTTCGTACTTAGCTGATGTACATACTATGTTAATACCATAATTACCTATATAATATTCTAGTTAATGAAATACGCCATCTGAAATACATAGTGTATTCATCTTACAAATAAAAGATTTTTAATTATACAAATCAAAGTTCTACAGTTCAGTTTTGACTACATTTTTAAATGTATTTTGCATCTCGTAGTGGCCTAATACGGCCAACCAAATTAGTAACTATAACAACCGATAGCTAAATCCGCCATAAGGAAATCTGAAATTTTATTGTGTCAGTTGTGCATGTTCACCTTTTTCCTGTAGTTCCTAATTTTATTCTTAAAACAACAATGGCGTGCGATCCATGTACGTGTAAATGCGGCCCAAAATGTGATTGTGATTGTGTTTGTAAGGATAAATCTACAGTAATTTGGATGAAAGATGCTGATTTGGAATGGCCTTCCTTTTCGAAGATGTACACAGAAACTCAAATCATTATCAAATTCACTATATCCAATTCTAAAGGGTTTACCCAAACATATACTTCGCAGCAAACTGTTTTAGAGGTAATTAAATAAACTTTTAGGTATTAGGAGTATAATTATTCATTATGTATCCGAGAATGGTTTTCACGTATCCAGTGTAGATTTACCTCAATCTAATCCATTAAATTTTTGTCGCAACATTACTCCAATTATATTCATCATTACCCAACTAAACTGTAATCTACGACCGAAGTCTTCTTCATTTAATTCTTGCGACAACTAGATCTTGTAGGGTTTAAATCCATACATAATTCTTATGTAATACACGCAAGACTGAAAAATGACCTATATCATGTATTTGTGCAGCTCTGCGTGAAGATGTATATGGATCTTCAAGGAAACTGCATTTTCCTTGAAGATTCCTAAAAGTTTTATTGTAATGTTAACAGTTTTTGATCTACCTATTCAAATGCCATCTTTTGCTTGTCCAGTTTCCTCAAAGCGCTTTTCAATTTTTTGTACCGTCGCGTCGCTCAATGATTTGAGAAAGTATCGTTGAACAAGTAGGTTACTTCACTTGTAGATCTTTTAAAAACACATAAAACAACTGTCGGTTTTAGTTATTGATACAATTTAATTTAAAAAATATTTTAATAAACGTAGAGCTATTATTTAGTTTTATAAATAAAAATCACAGCTTTTTATGTTTATTAAATTAGTTCAAAACTAAAAATAAAAATTGGTAAAATACCAAGTGTTACATGGTTGAACACGTATTAAAGTAAGGATTCCAATAAAAATACAATATACAGAATATATTTAAAAAATCAAAGTGACGACTGATATGAGAAAAATAACAAATTTGGCAAAATTGCAAGCATCAAATTTGAAATCTAACTATTGGAGAATATGGTCCCGATTTCCCACGTTTCCAGACTTTTGGTCCAATCTTATATAAAAAGCTTATAATTTAACATGAAGGAAGCTAATGTAACTCTTACATAACATTCATATAAAAATAATCTCATACTTTTTTTTTAATAAAAAACTGATAAAAAATTAAAAGAAAAAGACCATATTACTTCGTATGTAAAGGGGTGAGCATAAATTCATTGCACTTATGCCTACGTACACTAAAAGCCAAATAAAGTTGCGTGCACGTCACCAATGTCGTAATTCTATTGTATGTGTGGCTACATTTCTATAGAAAAGTGTATGTTACTTTAGTTTGCTAAACAATCACTTTTAAAAATAACCCGATCAATAAAAAAACTTTATTACAGCCTATGTATATATAGCTTTTTTGGATTTAGACGTCCGTGATTGTAAAATTTTGTGTTGAAATGTTCATGAAGAAATCACCAATTATTGACGGAGTATTAGTCACTACCAGAAATATTGTCATGTTGCCGCGTCGTTTGTTGAATTTTCATTCAGTGGTCTGTGACTTTTGTACTCGTGGTATCGTCGATTTTTGAGGTTATCTTGTGAAAAACTTTTATTTACTTGTCAAAATGCCCAAACAGCTCAATAGTCGATGCAAAGAACTTGTGGCTTCATTAGTTAACTATTTTGAAGAAGAAAGGATTAATAATGGCTCTTTGTTACCCTTAAACGCTGTACAAGAGGTAATATGCGAATAAAATATCATTACTTTACAAAAATTTGTATGATTTTAGCGTGTAGCTGCTGCTTTAAAAATCAGCGTAAGAACAGTAAACAGCATATGTGCACATGTCAAATGCAGAAAAAAGGTGAACAGTTCGAGTCACCAAAGAAAAAGCGTTGCATTAAAAAAACGAGTAACTTATTGTTTGGTAACTCAGTAATAACTTTACCACTTTTATTGTGAAATTACTTACTTTGTGAAATCTATTCATGAATGTAATTAACAAAAAAATAAATGAAAAAAAACACTCATTTTTAAATTCCACTTAATATTGTTACGAAAGATTTATCCCACATAGGAAAAGTCCATTGACGAAAAAGAAGAAGTGGTTCGAGAACATTCAAGATGACATCGAAAATTCTTGAAATGTCTAGTGAAGTTTGGAACGTCAGAACATATGTATATAACAGATGTTTTTGACAGTTGGGGAACAGATGTATTTTGAATGTAGAAGTTTATAGTTGTCAGTTAGTTAAAAGTATTGTTATATTGTTGGTGTTGAATAAAGCTAAGTTTTAAGAAGTGTAACAATATAGTGTGAAATTTGCTATCTTCACCTTTTTTGTTTATTTAAGTTCTTTTCTGTTAATTTTCATACTTCATAAACCATCTGACAACGCTGCAAATGTTCACAATGATGACGTGAACGCAACTTTATTTGGCTTTCACTGTAGATATTAATTACGATTTATACACTAGATTCACTGATTATGGGAAAGCATTTGATAGGATGCGATAAGAAATACTGGCAGAACTGTTAAATGAGAAGAATGTTGCCAGATAAGATAAAAAAATATAAATAGGTACTACATAATGGTATCAAACAGCTACTCTAAAGGTAGAGACGCTACTCCCTAAAATATACAAATGGAGATAAGGGTTCTCTTTCTAGTAAGAAAGTAGAAGTTTTTGTAATGAGATATTACAAAAAAATTAAAGATTCAATCCACTGAAAGAATTACAAACGTCAAAGTACTGGACGTCTGCAAACATACTGTGAAATAAAAATAAAGTCATAAAGCTTGAGTACTTGGGATATATTATAAGGGAGAGGAGTATGATATACTTAGGGTTTTGATGCAGGGAAATATTAAGACAGACATGGGATGTTTTCAAAAGTATAGTTGGAGGTTTAATGTTATAGAATGACTAGAAAGAGCACAACTAGTTTTCATATCACTCTTATAGAACATGGTATAATCTTTAAGTTTACGGACAGGTTGACATATGTAGCGTAACAACCTTTGCAAAGAATTTTGTACACCGCATTCGATTTTTCCCACATAGAAAAAGATTTTTGCATGGTAGAATAAAATATTCACACTATATAAAGCATGTTTCAAGTTTGAAAATGCCACATTGCTTAGCATTTGTTTAGTAGCCATCAAAAGGGAACGTTTTCAGTGAATTTGTTAAAATGGAGAACATTGGTCATCGTTATGTGATACAATACGTTTATTTGAAAGACCTCAGCCCAACCCATATAAAAACTGAACTGGATTCTACTTTGGGTGACTCTGCACGAGTCACCCAAGGGTGAGTTGTATGAAATACCAAGACAAGCAAATGAGGTGACTACTCCAGACACGGTGAAAAAAATCTATAAAGTGGTACTAGATGATCGTCGACTGAAAGTAGGCGAGCTAGCAGGCTTAGTAGGCATTTTCGATAAACACTGTTTTAAAGAAGTTTCAATTGAGTGTTTAGCAAAGTTTTACAACAACAAAGCAGAATGTTACGCACACAGAAGATATTAGGACCTATTAACGAAAGCAGAGTATGGAGATCCAGGTACACCCATGAACTCTACTAACTGTTCAAAAAGGCACCAATCTCAGAATTTGTTAAACTTCGGTGACTTCGATTGAGTGGTCATGTAGTGAGAATGGAGACAAAAAGATTTCCGAAAAGAGACCTAGATAGTAAAATGCAGTGCGTAAGACGAAAAGGAAGGCCACGGAAAAGGTGGGACGATGAAGTGGCAGCGAACGCGCAAAATTTGCTAGACATGAGAACCTGGAGACGATCAGCGTGGGATCGGCAAGGGTGGACGCATAGTTTGGATGAGGCCAAGACTCGATTTGGGCTGTAGCGCCATTATTGAGAGAGAGGGTGGGGGAGAGATACGAGGAGCAAGACAGTTCGTATTATAAAAAGGGTATCGAACTTATTGAACATCGCTAGGAAAAGTGTAGAGAGCTGAAAGGAGATTATTTTAAAAAAAATCAATACATTTTTCCAAATGTTAATTTTGTGTTTTATTTGTTGCGTCGGGTACTTCTGAGATCACCCGCGTACTTAGATATTTTCAAGTTATTTACAGAACTTAATTCACTGATGTTTTGATCTTCACATTTGTAGATTTTGGACAATCTGGAAAGAATTTTTGGGATTCCTAAAGAACATCTCCAATTAGCATACAGAGAGAGTCCCTTAACCGATGAAGATAAACTACTAAGAGATATAGATCCAGATCAACCTAAAATTCTGGAACTAAATATATCCACAGATGATCCCTCTAATTGGATTATTGATATCGAAAAAGTTTATAAAGTACGTAAGTGGTTGCAAAAATGTACACTTTTCCAAAACATGTGTTTTTTAGGATATTGTCGTTCCTGATATTATCACGGTTACAGTGGAAAATGGAGAAGATAGGAAGCAAATTGTAGTAGAAGTTGAAAATAAAGCTATACATAAACCAACGCTGGGCGGTTACATGCATAGCCGAACAGGTAATTTTATTAAAAAGATTTTGGCTTAACAAAAAGTATGTCTTTTTCTTTTATTTCTTCGAATTGAATATAAAGTATGCTGGCATAAAATGGGGTTTATTTCTTCTACTTCATTCGATTAATTTTTTCAAAAGACGTCCTACGTTTAATATTACCTTCGGTACTTTAATATTTGTTTAATTATTCGATTTTCCTCTCATCTGATTATGTTGTTTGGATTTTGTTCTTTATTTTTTATTTTCTCATTAATCGCGTAGATAGTCAGTCCTTGTCTGACTTCTTCATTTTATGTCTATTAAGTCTTGCAATACCTTTTACTTTTATGAGAAATACAGGGTGAGTCATGAGGAACTTTACATATTTCTACCATATGTAGAGTCCCTCAGGGAGCATATCATGTGGCCACTAAAAAATGTCAACTCCTCTTCTTTATTAATTAACAGGGTGATTTGTGTAATTGACCATTTATTTCATTTTACTGTAGTGTTTATACGGCTCATTTGATTTTTTAAATTTTTGCATGATACAGTACACTACTATCAAGCATTCGACTGGTATTAGCTAAACTAAAAAATTCCAGGACTGGCTTTGGAAAAATTAATTTAGGGATTCCTATTAAATATTACACCCTGTATATATATTTTTTAAAATGCAATAAGTGATTTTCAAACTACATAAATAGCCAATGAAATCGACATATGCGACAATGTTGTCGCACGTTTATTAAATTTTTAGTGAACGATCAAATCTTACCAAAAATAGAACAACCATAATGAAGTATCAAATTATAAGGTAATTAATTTAAACAAATGTTATAAATTTCAAACATTTTAATTGAAATGATAAACTGAGTCACTTCACAACAAAAAACAGTAACTACTAACAATAACGAAGAACAATTAAAAAAAAAAACTAAAAATATGTACATAGTTATGATAAACCCATAAATTAGAACTGGAAAAGATACAATAATGGTAACAAAATAAAAATAATTCAAAATAGATTTTCGAAATGGAATCCTGCAGCCTGTACACATTTTTGTTGACGACTTGTTAATTGACGTATTGAATTACAGATACTCTGGGATCGTTTCTAATAGTATTACAACAATGTATAATTCTATCAATTAATTGTTGTCGGTTATTAATATTCACTGCGTAAACTAGTTGCTTCAATCGTCCCCAAATATGGTAATCAACGGGATTGAAATCAGGGGATCTTGAAGGCCACGAAATAGGACCTGCACGTCCTATCCACCTGTTGCCATAAACATTATTGAGATGTTGTCTCACTGCCAGTAAAAAGTGTGGGGGTGCCCCATCACGGTGAAAGTACATCCCTCGGATAGCAACGTTCGCGTTGGCAAGCAAATTCGGCAAAATATTTTGTAGAAAGTTCAAATAGACCTGCCCTGTTAAAGGACCATCAAAAAAGTCAGGACCTACTAATTGGTTATTTATGACACCAATCCGCACGTTAACCGAAAACCTAACCTGAACCATTTGAATGTGATATGGGTATAGATTATTTTTTGTAAGACTCTACTTACTTTTTATTGAGTAACATTGAGTTCTCGACTTACTTGTCTAGTGCTTATTGTAGGGTTCATAGTAACGAGCGTCCATAATGTCATCTTCCTGCGCTTCATCTACATTTCGCTCTGTTGTTCCACTAGGAAAAGTGCCATTTTCTCGCAAATAATTAAAAACTGACCCAAATGTTGGATGACTGGGAGTTCGACGAATAGGAAATCTCCTGCGATTTTCTTTACTAGCAGCAGTACCATTCCCATTACAGAATCCATAAACAAATATTATGTCTGCATATTCTGTGGTCGAAAACTGATGTGGCATTTTGAACGAAAGTAACAAAAGCTCTACCAAAACTAACACAATGTACTTAACGTAGATATGACAGAAGAAATATGTATTCTTGTACACATAAATAACAATTGATAATGACAATAATGACAATGGGTATAAAATATCAAGAAACATCAAACAATCAACGCCAACCTTCATTTTAAACTTTTTTAGATTTATTTTTATTTAGTACAGTTGATGCAATGTATTATTTGACATAAAATTTTAATCGTTTACAATCAACAAAAACTAACACATACAAGAGGTTTGACTTTTTAATCAATTTAATTTATTATTTATCGAAAATAATGCCCCAATACGATCTATGAGTAAAAATTTAAAATTGAAAAACAATTGATTCTATCGTAGAGATAATACAAAGTGACAGTAAAGATGTTAATTTTCTACGTATTAGATTATGTTGTAGGAACTCATTTTAATTAAAATGTTTAAAATTTATAACATTTGTTTAAATTAATACCTTATAATTTGATACTTCATTATGGTTGTTCTATTTTTGGTAAGATTTGATCGTTCACTAAAAATTTAATAAAAGTGCGACAACATTGTCGCATATGTCGTTTTCATTGACTATTTATGTAGTTTAAAAATCACTTATTGCATTTAAAAAATATATATACAGGGTGTAATATTTAATAGGAATCCCTAAATTAATTTTTCCAAAGCCAGTCCTGGAATTTTTTAGTTTGGCAAATTAAACCAAAAACCAAAAACCAAAATTAAACAAAATTTAAAAAATCAAATGAGCCGTATAAACACTACAGTAAAATGAAATAAATGGTCAATTACACAAATCACCCTGTTAATTAATCAAGAAGAGGAGTTGACATTTTTTAGTGGCCACATGATATGCTCCCTGAGGGACTCTACATATGGTAGAAGTATGTAAAGTTCCTCATGACTCACCCTGTATAATTTCGTTTTCTTTGTATTCTAGAGTTGTTATCTTTTTGTTATCTCATTACTCATCTTTATTATTCATATAATAGAGTAGGTGTTTCTATTGTTTTATAAGTTGTATAATTTATCTATTTTTGTGTTGTTCTTATTATTCCGCATATATACTGAAGCCTGTCAATTTTGTGATCGATATCTCTATCTTTCTGAACACTTTTTGAAATAATTCAAAAAAGCTTACAGGGACTTCTTGTGTATAATGGCACAGAATAATAAACAATCAGAATGCTCACTCTCCATGAAAAATTAAGTACGCGCATCTCCTTCGCGCAGACGTTCCGCCATGTTTTAGAGGGAACCAGTGTAGGAAGACGTAAAATCTCGTGGCTACGCAATCTCCGTGAGTGGTTTGGATGCAGTTCAATTGAACTATTTAGGCGAGTAACTAATAAAATTATAATTGCCAGAATGATTTCCAATCTCCGATAGGAGTGGAACTTGAAGAAGAAGTGTTGTTTATGTGGTGTGCATAGACAAAATTAACCCGGTTTAATTAACTCACGGCAATCATAGACATACTATACAATTATATATTAACATTGTTAAATATAATAAGATAAATATAATATAATTAAACATAAATATAAACAATAACATAACCTCACAAATCATATGTCTGTGTTATGTGTTTCTGTCTAAAACATGGCGCGCGTGCTGAAAAACTTCAAAGGCGGCATATGAGAGTGGGTATTCTGTTTGTTTATTATTCTGTGATAATGGTATATTTTATTAAAACTATTTAAAATTTATCCAAAACATTTATTACAATTCTCCAAAACGTTTTCGATCCAGTCGGACCATCATCAGTTAAACATTAAAAGTAGTTGAAACTAGCTACAAAAATAGGTGTAAAAACCTTTGAAATTCCATTAATCAATCATGGTTTTTATAACGTAATGACATGAGGTCGACATTATAGGATTTCATATAAAGGTAACATATATTTGGTGCCAGCCAACTGATGGAAGATGGCAATTCAGTTGGCTGGCACTAACCGTTGGAGAAAGTCGTCAGTTCTCCTTTTGAACAGGGAAGATGTCTGTGAAGATATATATTATACACATGAAGTCGTTACTTCTCTGTAAGTTTTTTTTTTAAACTATGTTATACATATGAAATAATTGACTTGTGCAACTAGGCGATCGTCAATTAGTTTTGTTCTTATGGGATTTTTACCTTCAAACGTCATAACGTTCGCCTTTTTTGTTGATATTTCCATATTGAAATTCTTCTTCTTCTTGCCTTCTATCAGCTATTTTTGGACATAGGCCTCTCCCAATTCCTTCCATCGATCTCTATCCTGAGCAACATACTTACAATTTTTTGCATATATTTTTTGCGACCACCATACACCATAGTTTGTAATTGCTCGAATGTGCTCGCTATAATTACGATGTCGTCAGCGAATCCGGCTTAACTTGTTGCCATTAACGTTGGTGCCATATGTTGACCAATTTTTATTTTTGAGGACGTCTTCTATTCCTATTCTCAACCTATTCTACAATTATTAATAACTTATTTTATAGCCCACTTCTCGATACCGTCAATTGCTTTTTTTAGTCTACGAATGCAAGAAATACGGATAGTTGGTATTCACTTGCCTTCTCTATCAATGTTCTCATTGTCAGCAGCTGATTTGATTTACTATATCCTTTGCGGAAGCCAGTCTGTTATATCGATTGGTAATTATTCATTTTGTGAATCAACTAGTTGTTAATAATTTAACAACGTTTTTTATTTTTCTTTTGAGGTTCTCTTTTGTTAAAATCTTCAACTATTTCAACTATTGTATCTTGAGATGTTGAAAGAGAACATTTTCTGATATTTCGTATATAGTAAGCAGAAATACAATATCTTATTCTTTTTACAAAGGTGTCCTCTACCTCCATAGTTACACTCAGACGGGGCCTCCTCCTTCGAAAATACCACCTGAAAATAAAAACCACAGAGACACCCAGACATACAGTACAAGAAACAGAAAGGTACAAATGGATTATGCCCATGCAACTCAAATGACCAATACCCAAATATATATACCAAACGTGACGGATAAAATCCTTACGGCGGGAGCTTACGAAACGGCGGAAGAAAGGGATAAACGCTTAGATATTGAAGGCAAAGTGAGAACAATTCAGAGGTAGGTTTTTTATCTTTAACCTAGGAATAACATTAAAGGTACTTTATTTCTTATCATTTAAAGTTTTTCTAATTGTTGACTCTCCTTTGTTTTACAAAAAAAAAACTACAAATTCATTTTCTACTTATGCATAAAGTTGCATTAAAAGTTCCGTGTGAAAGTTCGTTCGCATTAATAGTAAGATTGTAGCGTCTCATTTGTCTAATCTAACGGCCCTCAAAATTTTGTTTGTGCTGTACCTAACCTAACCTCTTTATACTGTGGCTGTACTAAGATGTGACTACACTACCTCGTTGACTATTTTTTATTACGTCTAAGCACGCCGTACTTTAGTTCCCATGCCACTAATTTCGTCCGTGTTTAAACTTGTGTTTCAAATGTTTACTGTGTTTAAAGTTAAAAGTACTTAGTACTTAGCCCTTGAAACCCATTGCGTATTACAGACACAGACTAAGAGCGCTTTCAGACGAGGATACTGTATGCGAGATACAGAATTTGGGATGGCTGCTTTATCGTATTCACATGCATGCTCGTCAGTATGAAAACATAAGCAGTGCAGTGCGGTTATAGTTTTTTTATTATGGATGTAGAAGAGTGTGAGACTAAAACTATCTCAGAAGTTAAATGTTTGCGTTTTCATCGAAAATATTTACAAAATAAACGATTTGAAAAAGGGGTATGTTTTTTACTTATAAACAATTATGTAATAACCTCTATATTTTGCAGCTACAGACCTATACGTACAATTATTGGATAGCTGGCATAAAAAACTCACATTTATAAAAAACCTATGACCAATAGGAACGAAGTTAGCGACTATTTTTTAAAAAATCAAATCTTCATTGTTTATTTAATATTAGGAAGTAAAATTTGCACAAATATTGAATGAAAATCTAAACTTTATATTGAAACTTATAGCTATAAAATTTATTCAATTTTTCCAAACTTACAGCCGTTCGAAACCAAGGTACTTTAGAAATATCGACATAGGAAAGTGGAGAGGATAACTGTCTCAGCAGCTCCGTTTTTTTGTTCGACATCAGAACTTCAAATTGAAACACGTAGGAAAAATTTACATTTTCTCGGCTTCCATTGTAGCTGGAAAATACTTAGTTTGAAACTACTACTGCTCGAACAAGTTAATGCCACAGTCTGCTGTTTATTTTGAAATAATCTATAATACCTAAATAATATTTTTCAATGATTATGCAAGTTGAAAGTAATTAATTATTCATTCAATAGTCTTAAATATTACTTACAATTTTGAAGCAAAAGTAATTCAATACGTTTAGTTAAAACTTTTTTGTTCAAAATACACAAAATATTTTACTCAAAGAACTATATTGAAGAAGAACTATATTCGGTTTCAAAAAGCTATAAGTGTCGAACAATTGGATGAATGATTTTTTTTAAAAATAGTCGCTAACTTCGTTCCTATTGTCATAGAAGATTTTTTTTAAATGTGAGTTTTTTTACCAGCTATCCAATGATTATACGTACAAGTCTGTGGCTTGAAAAATATAGAAGTTATTACAATTGTTTATAAGTAAAAAACATACCCCTTTTTCAAACGTTTATTTTGTAAATAATTTCGATGAAAACGCAATATGCATTTAACTTCTGGGATAGTTTAAGACCTAAAGAATCCTATGAAATTTGCTAAATGTGTATAGCATCATTCATATGGCAAGTTCAATAGTTTAAATAATTAGCCTCAGGGATAAATAAATTAAATAACTTTTAAACTATTTGACACATCGGGGGGAATTTTCCCACAAATTTAAAAGACGGTAATTCTTCGACGTTCAAATGTAATAATAACATTTTATTTTGTTAATAAAAAATTAATAAAATTCATACATAAGTGCAAAAAAACCTGCTTTTTGCAAATATCTCCGTAAATTATTTATCAATTTTAATTGAAAAAACGGGAAAATAAAGATATTCTTGCTATAAACAAATGATATAAATATTGCTTATTTAGAATATAAGGGAAAAAACTTATAGACAAAAAATCAAATTGTGACCATAAATTATTGTTTAAAAAAACGCAAGGTAAAAATACGAGTACCTTTTCATCTATTCATCATATAGTACCCCCACCCATGTCTTAAAAGCTTCAGATATCTGCGAAACATTTTTCGACCATTTTTTTAACCAGACTGGTCTAATTGTGTAATATCTTGCTAAAAATATTTGTGGTTAAATGATATTGAACACATTATTTTTTGAGGAAAAATTAATATATTCGATAAGTACACACATGTAGTTTTATATTCGTTAAATAATCAAAATTCCAACAAGCAAACTTTTAAAACTAAACTGTATACGTATGTAAACAAAATACCTATGTATTTATAATAAAAACATGTTTATTTCTTACCGTATTCATTTTGTTGAAACTGCAGTCATGGTCTCAAAATTGTCGCACATTTGTTTAGAAATCTCGACCCAGCATTGCTGCTTTTTATTTCTGTTGCAGTAATCTGGCGATGCAGTATCCCACAGACAGGGATTTGGTTGTACCAAACAAATGAATTTATCGTTATCAAATACAGCACGCTCCATTTTTAACTATATTCAAAAAAACACCTTTTCTCTTTCGTTGTTCATTCACAACTATTCGACAATTCGACAGAAAATCGTGCGTTTATGGAATGTGGTGCAAAAGTATCCGTGTCTGAAAGCGCTCATTTAACCTAATGTTTCTTCTGCATCTGGCATACACATTCAGTCGCCGGCGACAGGAAGGTCCGAGATACTGAATTCGGTCTATGTAATATCTGCGTCTCGGATACGCGTATCTCAGATACAGTATCCTTGTCTGAAAGAGTTGTATTCATGTTTATATCAATTCTTTCACGTTGTCTGGAAATAGGGTATATAAAACCCAGACGCCGTGTTTTGAAGCATTTCAGTTTATTATTACGATGGCAGCGGACACAAAGTAATTAATTTTTTTAAATTGCGGTTAGGTGATCGAGAACTAACATTCATTGTGGTAAGTTTTATTATTTTATTTCTGCCACTCTCGTTCAATCATAATACATAGAAAGATTTTCTTATCTTCCTAGAGTTTCGTTTGCTGAATAAATATGAATGAATAAATAGTCGTGATCTTCAATACGTCACCACCTCTGCAGTTTTATTGCCAGGATACATACCGAGCATACTTCCGTTGAATTAATTAATTAAATAATGTGGAACATTCAGGAATAATCAAGAATACCTTAAAAAGTATCCTATCTACGACAAAAATAGACAATTTCGTATACACAAGTATAGTACACAATTTTTTCTAGCTCTTAAAATGAAAGTTAACAAAAAAAAATGTAAAAGTAACTTTGTGGAACTTTACACTTCTATATCAAATTTGAAGCTCCAAAACATTATACAACGAAAAACAGGATATGTATCTGTTTTCTGTTTTTGAAAATTGAACATTTTTATTCAACAATACAATTGTGGAACTTGGGAAGTTTATTGGTTTTATCGGGGTGAAGGTAATGGCGAATGGCAAACTAACTAAATAGCATAAATTCTGAAAATATGTATTATTACAGATGATGAAAGAAAAACTATTAAACGTTTTCATTGCTACATTGATACTGTAGTTCTTGTTAAAATAGGAAGAAAATAATTCTGGAAATTCAAAATCAACTTGTTATTCACGGGGGTCACATATTATATGTTTCACCTTAGTCCAATGACATACCAAATTTGCTATACACTACATAGGAAATCAACTAAAATCCCTTAACGACAAGTCATTTTATTAGGTTTGGAAACAAGCGATCATAACTGATAGCCAAATCGTTGACTTGTGACAGCTGCATGATTCTGGTGGATAAACACTGACTTTTGACGGAAAAATAAAGTCGTTTCACTTTTATTCTGTTCAAGTATGCTTTGACCTCGATTGGGATTAAACCTGTCGAATAAAAGGAGCTTATCAAAGTTCATCAAATTTCGAAGATTCCTCCAAACTCATGCAATTCGTACACAAACCGTAATTATCAAACATCCCTCGTATAATTAAAGAATTTTATTATCCAGCTATTATGACGTCGTTAACTCAACATAGACATGGAAATTTTTATTTGTATTTAAACATTTTCTTTTTGCTTTTTAGCATTTCTTTATTTTAAGTAAGACTTTTTGTAAATTAGGAAAACTAAGATAAAACCTAGTCACCCTTATATACATATCTAAAACTTGTTTAAAATCTTTTAGGTATTTTCGTGCTTGGAAAATGAGCCAAGCACTTAAAGAATTGAGCTGGGAATATCATAAACGCCTGCAGCTAGAACTAGAAGCAGATGAAAGGGAACGAGTCGAGGACGAAGAAAGAAGGCGGCAGGATTTGGTTAGCAAAGTTTTTCCTCTGACCATGTCAGATTTCGCGATGCTCTATGCAATGGTGAGCAATTACACATTTCTAACTAATTTAAAACAAAACAATACCATTTAAGAAGTAACCGTACTTGCAATTCTTTTCAAATATATATACCTATACATTACACGCCCATGGGACATTTTTAAGGAGTCATTTGATTCAACATGAATCAGATATAAATCAATGCTACAATACGTAATAACAACTTTAGAAACTATGCCGCCAATTCTTATAGATATTCAAAGCATGGGGTTCAAATTAAGGGTTGGGCACAGTATATTGTTTAAAAATAATTGTTATTAAGCAATATACTGCGGGTTTTGTCTTAGATTTTTCACCCCTATTCCAACCGAAATATACGTTGCCGGAAGCCATATTCCGGAGTGTTGGAAATTGTACCTGTGTGGTAGTGTCCAAAATAGATCTACATAAAGGAAAATAATTTGCCCTAACAAAAAGTAAATGATGATGAAGAATCGTGTATTTTAATATGGGTAATTTTCGTGCAATTGAAAGTTTATTTTCTATTAAATATTTGCGAACTAGGGATCTTTGTGTAAAGTAATTCATACAAATCTCATACATAACAGGTGCTGAAGGTCAACTGACTGAAGAAATTTTCGATCCGACCTGTAATCCGACTTCCAACTCCAACTTCACCATTCACGCTCCCACTTCGTCCCAAGTCGGAAGTCGGATCTTCAAGTCTTCCCTCTAGATGTTCCGACTCGTACCACAAGTTGTCCAACTAATTCAACCAGCCCACTCACGGTCCGATTTCAGATCCAACTGCGGAAGTTGGACCACTAGTCGGACTCAAAATCGGAACGTGAATGGCCTGTTTTACGATAGAAATATCATACAAAAATAGCGTTCAAAGAATTCCATGAGCTATTAAAAGAGTACTATAAATGTTACGCTGTTTCATGACATTGAATTAGCTACATAAATTAGCAAAAAAAGTTTTATGGATATTACAAGTAGTAGCAAGATATTTATAATATACACCCTGTAACAAAACGGTTATAGACTTTAAAAATTAATTGATTATACAATGTAGAATGTGAAATTATAAGCAAAAGAGAAAAAAAGAGAGCCAAATGTAAATTATTCAGTAGGAATGAAATGAATTAATTGGTTCGAGTCTAAATTCCAAGAATACATAACTGGAATGCAAAAACGCATTGTAATGTATCTTAACTTCAGTTTTACTTTTACTTATTACAGTTACAGTAAAACCTCCTTGAACCGAAACCTTTTTAACCGAAACATCGTTTAACCGAAACCGCTAACGGGTTCAATAATTTCGGCAATAAACAGTAAATTTTTATCGCAAAACGTAAACAATTTCATTAATTTCACTCACCGATTGATGACGACGTGTGTTGGAAAATCAAAAAAACTAAGAGCTCTAAAAGATATCTGAGCACTTCATATAAATTTTTAATTTATATGAAGCAATAACGAGTAAATATTTGTCTCTTTCGAGATTAATTGCAGACATCTGTTCAATCTGGCAACTGCTGATTTGACGATTGCCAAAGCTATTCCCTAATATATCAAAGGGTAATTGCCAAAAAACATTCTAATAATTAACTGCAAATAATCTCCAAAGAAACAAATCCTTACTCATTCTTCTTCTTCTTTTTTATAAGCAAAATGCTTGTTCAATGTCGATTAATGCCTCTATTGGAGGTTATCACTCCATCTTTTGCGTGGTCGCCCGATACTTCTTCTACCTTTTGGTGATTTGTCCCTCGCTATTCTGACTAATCGGGTCTCTTCCATTCTGTTTATGTGTTCGTTCCATTCCTTTTTTCTGTTCAGTGTCCACTCATTTATTTCTGGTATATTGCATTTTCTTCTGATCTCTTCACTCCTCATTCGATCCCTCAGTGTGTTTCCTGTAATTCTCCTCAGTAAACGCATCTCCGCTGTTTCTAGTAGTTGCTGAGTTTTGGAGGTATCCGGTCTTGTCTCTGAAGTGTATGTCATTATTGGTCTTATTGTTGCTTTGTAGATTCTTGATTTCACGTCGGTATTAATGTGGGGATTGCGCTATATCGTGTTATTAAGACAACCTGCTATTTTATTAGCCTTTTGTACTTGATTTTTCACTTCCTTCTCCACATCTCCGTAGCTAGACAGTGTAATTCCTAGGTAATTTGTCTCCATTACTTGCTCAATGCTGATACCGTCGATTTCCAGTTTACATCTAATTGGTTCTTTACTGATTACAATTGTTTTAGTTTTCTGTGTAGATATCACCATATTAAAGTCCTTTGCCCTTGTGTTGAATCTATGGGTTAGTCTTTGTAGATCGTCTTCATTGGATGCAATTAGGGCCGCATCATCTGCATAGCAGAGTATTCTGATTTCTTTGTTCCCCATTTTGTATCCTCTTCCTTTATTGATAGTATTGATGATTTCATCCATGATTAGATTGAATAGCGTTGGACTAAGCGAGTCTCCTTGTCTTATTCCATTGCCCATATCTATTGGATCTGTAAGCTGGTCATCTATTCTGACTTCCATATTGTTGTTCTGGTAAATGTTCTCTATTGTTTTTATAACATTTAGTGGAATTTCTCTATCGTAAAGAAGGTGAATTACATCTTTATGATAGGTAAAGAAATAATAAATAAGACTTACTCACAATCAATATTGATTGTAAGTCTTATTTATTATTTCTTTACCTATTTGAAATGGACTCACACAAGCAACACATTCATGATTTACATCTTTAAGCTTTACTTTATCGAACGCTTTCTTCAGGTTTATTAGACATATGAATGCTGGTCTGTTATACTCTAGTGCTTTCTCGGTAATCTGTTTTATGATGAATACTGCATCTGTGCACGATCTTCCTGTGCGAAAACCCTGCTGTTCATCCGCTAAGGTAATTCTCTGATTTATTTGGCCTTGCAATATTTTGGTTGTAAGCTTCAAAGTGGTGTTTAATAAGTTGATACCTCTGTAGTTTTCAGGTTGTTTTTTATCTCCTTTTTTGTATAGTAGGATAAGCTCGCTTTTCTTCCACTCTTCAGGTATTTTATTATGTTTGATGATTTTGTTAATTAATGCCGTTAGCTGTTCTGTTAATGCTTCTCCACCATATTTCAATAATTCATTTGGAATTCCATCTTTACCTGCAGCCATGATACTATGACTGTAAGATAAGATATTGCGCATGTTTTTGTGACGTCATTGGAGACTTGCACGTTCGAAATGTCAGTTTTTGTATATATCAATAAATAATCTTTAATAAATAGTTTGGAGATATCCTTATGTGTACGATTATTGTAATTTAACCTCTTAACTTATTTTCGTCTAGTAATTTCATCACAGAATGCATACAAATCTCGTTTAACTTTAACAAGAATTCAAATTCTAGTCTCCAATGACGGCATGCGCGAACCCGACTGATTTTGAGCTACGGGAAGATCCTATCTTGTTATTCATAGTATCATGCCTGCAGCTTTTCTGTTCTTCAGTTTTCTAAAGTTGTGTTCCATTTCTTTTGAGAAGCGTTCCCAGTGTTCGTTTTTAATTTTTCTTACTAGTGCTATTGTTTCGTTTCTTATCTTTTTGTAATTGTTGTATTCTTGTGGTGTTTTGTTAGACATGTATCTTAAGTAAGCTTTCTTTTTTTCTTTGCATTTTTCTTTCACTTCTGCGCAGTTTGCGCACCACGGAGTTTTCCGCTTTTGGAAATATTTATTTTTAAGAATGATTTTAAGAATGAAAGATTTTTACTCATTCTTGTTTTATACAAATCAAAAATCGCAGAATTTATAACATAATATAAACAAAATGTACTTTTCTAAAGCTTTATCTTTTTATATTCGAAGCATACAGCATCTACATTATAAAAACATGCCAACACTGCTATACCAAAATTTTTTGTTCCATGTTTGACATTTGCGGCTATAAACAGCTTGTACTTTCGGTAAACTCAACCAATATGCGTAAATAAGAGAGGAACTTACCGATACTATTTGGATATTGGCCCATTGGTAAAACAGTTTATCATGAAAGTTTAGATCGAAACTCCGACTATCTGAGAAAAGGAAGTTCGAGAAAGTTATGGATCGATGTATTCTTTCTGGTACTGTGGCTTATGGGGGAAAATGAAACGAAAATCATTGTTACAAAAAAAAAAAAAAAAATGAACCTTTCTTAACAATCATGAAAGAGCCAAATTTAAGTATACGCCAAATCACATCAAGTTGTAATAGGAACTGTACACACAACCAAACTTTTGAAAAAACTTGTTATTGTTGCAAAGAATAAAAGTTTTCATTAAAAATAAACAAACCAATAAAACAATCAGATATCACAGCCCGGTACGATATAGATTATTTGTTTAAGTTATAAATTGAACGAAAATAAATAAACTAACTTTGGCTTTTAAAAAATAAAATATGCTTTATGTGGGGTTAACGGATGTGCAAAGGGGATGTGGAAAGATATTGGTCTTGTGGAGCAAGGAATGTCTCAGAGGGACATAGCTGTAGTGGAAGTCTCCATCGAAACAACTTTTCTCTTTATAATGTGACGTAACCGACACATTTTTAAGGATTCATAAACCCACTAGACCACTCAAGTGAATGCGTTGGTCCGCCTAGCTATCTCTCTATTAAGTGACATAATCGATCTATTTTTTAGGATACAAGTGCCTTATCGAAAAAACATTTCTTCCGCTCTCGTTAGTCCTGACTCTGCCTCCCACTGGGATTGGTTATTACAGTATTTCGCAGGATTGCTCAGATTTCCAGGGTTCACCGACTTACGAGTTGAAAGCCGGAAGTAAGTAGGAGAAGCTAAGTGGCACTAGGACGACACCGTGTTTTATATTGCGCAAGTTTATCATTCTATCATTCACATAAAAAGTTTCTGCTTTACTTTGTCTTCAAATTCCGTATTCCATGGTACTGTCTATCTGATAACAGAAGTTATCAGGATGGGTAGATAGAGAACTCAGCAGTTTAAGTTGATCACCCTCTATAATATTGCTTATTGTTATAATCTAATACAGCGGTGTTTTTAGGTTAACAAATGGAAGAGATCTGAAATAGCAAGAATTACTTCTTTGCATTGTGGAGCTTCTAAAATTGCAGAACTGTATCTTTTGTTGGAGAAAGAAATCGAAATGTTACGAGCAATTGAAAAACTAAAAAATAAAGTAGAAAAAGATTTAGAATATAAGAGGATACAGAACTTTTTTAAAAAAATAGGTAAGCCATATTTAAATTGTCTATTTAAATTTGTAGAATTTTAGCAGTCTGTTACTTTTTTAGGTGAACCCATTGATTGGTACAGTAGGTACAAAAGCCTGCACATATTTATGGATACTCTGGAAACACAGAAGGGGCGACAATATTTCGAGCTTTACAAAAAATTGACGAAAAATGATCTTACTACCGAACAAAAACTAAACGTATATTTGGAGGTAAAACAATACATTCAGGATCATCAATGTCACGACAGCGAACTATTGAATGGTCTTATTGATAGAGTTTGTCAACTGTTAGCAAGAGGAGTAAGCGAAAAACAACTTAAGGGATTAGAGAAGAGGATAGAAGCTGGTGTTTTGCATCATTTCAAGCTAATTGAATGCAACGAGAATGTTACCAGGTAATAATAATGTGCATTACCATTCTTTAATACTGATCTGGTACATAGGGGCATGATACTATGAATAACAAGATAGGATCTTCCGTAGCTCAAAATCGGTCGGGTTCGCGCATGCCGTCATTGGAGAGTAGAATTTGAAATCTTGTTAAAGTTAAATGGGATTTGTATGCATTCTGTGATGAAATTACTAGACGAAAATAAGTTAAGAGGTTTAATAATTACAATAATCGTACACATAAGGATATCTCCAAACTATTTATTAAAGATTATTTATTGATATATACAAAAAACTGACATTTCGAACGTGCAACTCTCCAATGACGTCACAAAAACATGCGCAATATCTTATCTTATAGTCATAGTATCATGCATAGGGGTTTCAAAAAATAAAGAAAGGTAATAGACCCAAACAATGATTAAAACAGCTTTAAGAGCAACAAATATAAGTTGACATGAAAAATAGGTTGTCTTGTTTGAATAGAATTAAGTATGTAGACAAATGTCAGATTATTGGCACTATCTTACTACGTATGACAAAAATAAATCTTAATTTAGACATCGCTATGATCAAAAAATTATTTAAATTATGGTTTCCAGTAATCAGATGCTCATGAAGTTGCACTATAAATCACATTTTTTTGTATATCTATGTATAGTTGTGTATCATTACGAAAAATGAAAGAAATCAATCTAAAAATTCCTATACCTCAAACGGATGGATGTTTGACTATCTTCTAGAACTATTCAAAGACCAAAAATATATCAGCATGAATAAAATCGGTATCTTGGAAAAAAAAACTAATGAACGACGACAGTTCTAGCGATGTTAAAAGGGAATATTCATTGACAGTCTACAAAGTGTATTGTTTTTAAGACTTTCCTTGGTTATATTTTTTACTTTCTGTTATTTATTATTACATCTTATCTTTCAATTCCCAATTTCCAATAAACAATGTAAATCATAAGTTATTAATTATCTCCAAAATATTTTGAAGCTCTCTATGTTTCTTTGGCTTCTTTACTTTTTTATCCCAATGTATGTTAATTATTTCATAATTTAAATATTTGTTATCAGGCATCTGTTGAATAAAGAAGAGCTAAGAATGGAAAAGAATCTACAATACTGCCCTAGATGTCAGAAATTCAAGACAATCGAGGATTTCAAATTGACAGCAAGAACAGAAAAGCTACGTATCTGCCGCACCTGCAAGTGGTTGGACAAAGCCGATGAACCTTGGGTGGATCTATCGCCTTATAGGTTTATCTTAAAGCAAATCAGGAACTACGAGAGATTACATCACGCTGTAACGTCAGTAGTTTTCATACTGCAAGATATAGATATTCACCATATTACTGTACAGATTTGGCATGGACATTCTGCGTTGTCAGAGTGCAATGACATCTACCAATTAAGGTAAGTTATAGAATTTTAACACAGAATGGTCATCACAATTTCCTGAAATTTAGTGTCTACATTTTTGATACTCAACTGTATATTATAATTATATAAAATATTCTTTGAAGAAGACAGAAGAAAGTTTTACGAATGATTTATTGCATAGTGATTTAATTTGACTCGGTGAAAATGTGATGAACCTTGTTATTTATTTTTTTTGTCATTAGTTAGTTGTCATCATTTAGTTTGTCTTTAGTTATCGTATCTTCGTTATTCTTTAAAACATCGATACATATTTTTACTATTCTTTTACAAAATACTGTTTTTAGATTGGTCCGTTGGGACATGCACAAAGAATGGGCTCCCTGGAACTGCATCCTTCTTACTGCTGAAGAGGCCAAAGCTCACTTGAAAGTTACATCATTAGACCAAGTATACGAAGAAGAATTCATAAATCACGTAACTAACAAACATCTACTCGCCAGAAGACACTTTCCCCAACTAAAAACTTTCGACAAGTTCTTTACTAAGATGGCCAACGGAGATATAAGGCTTGATGAAAATTCGGAGTATTACAATAAACCAAAGATGGAATGTCTGGAAATAGAAGATATTGAATATTGTAATAGGTTATTATGTAAACAAGGGATTTAGTTTACACTTAAGTAGATGAGATGTAAGAAATAGTTAATAATAAAATACTAAATAATAGACTGTTAGATAGAATTCTTTATACATACTTTGCTTTTTCTTTACTCAATGGCTTAGACATTTTTTTATGGTACGATATTTTTAGGGTTTAGATGTCGTGGTCTGGAGTAATTTTTAATTGACGTCTCCCCTTTAAATTTATAGGCTTCGTGTCTTCTAGGGATCTGTCGGTTGGTCCGAATCATCATCATCTTGGTGCTACAGCCCTTAGAGGGCCTCGACCTTCTCAAGCTTTCTACGCCATTCTGTTCTGTCCCTTGCTTGAATTTTCCAGTTGCCGACTCCGATCTTCTCCGCATCTTGTGTTACCCCATCCATCCACCTCAGCTTTGGTCTACCCCGTCGTCTCATTCCCACAGGTTGCGCTGTTAGAATCTTTTTTATCATGTTCGCTTCAGGGGCCCGGGCTACATGTCCTGCCCACTGCAGGCGGTTTCGCTTAATTATAGTGGTAATATCTTTACCACCAAACATATGCTTGTAGATATTCTGCAGTTCAAAGTTATATCTACGCCTCCATATTCCGTTCTCACAGACCGCTCCAAATATCTTGCGTAGCACCTTTCTTTCAAAAATGAATAGAGCGGATTCATCTGTATTCGTTAGCGTCCATGCCTCTGATCCGTATGTGAGAACGGGGACTATCAGTGTTCTATACAGCCTTATACGAGTTTTTTGAGACAGACGTTTGTTAGCTAAGTACTTTGATAGACCATAATAACACCTGTTTGCAATTATTATTCGCGGTTGGTCCGAATACGTTTTTGAATTTTTCGATTCGTCTGGGTAGAAGTTGCGTATTTCGTAGTGCTGAGATGCACATCCTGTTTCTTAGATGGATACCTTCTTCTTTACCATTAAAAATTGATTTCTGGGACTCGACAGCCTCTGTGAATAGCTGTGGATAATAGAGTGATAATAGTTAATAAAAACAACCCATGGATGACTAATGAAATTCTACAGCTAATGGCTCAGCGAAGACAACAAGAATAAAGATGAAACAGAATATAGAAAAGTACACAAAACAGCCAGGAAGAAGATTAAAAAAGTAAAAGAAACATGGCTGACGAAAAAATGCACCGAGATAGAGATTTTTGATAAAAAACGATGTTCGTTACGTTCATAAGGTTAAAAAAGCAGCCGACCTCTCCACGAACAAGGCGATGCCTAAGTAGTTCTAACTAACATCATCATCATCATTGGCTCCACAACCCATGGTGGGTCTTGGCCTGCTCACTCCATCTAATCTTTGGTTATAAATATGTTTTGGCGGTTCCATCTCATTTATTCTCTCTATGTGACCTAACCACCACAGCCGGTTTATTTTGATGGACCTACGAATATCAAGTTTATCATACAGGCGGTAAAGTTCAAAATTATAGCGTCTACGCTATAATCCGCCCTCCTGTACTCCTCCATAGATATGCCGGAGGATTTTACGTTCAAAACATCTTAAACGTTTTTCATCGCTCTTTGTCATCGTCCATGTTTCCGACGCCTATGTGAGGATGGGCTTGATAAGAGTTCTGTACTTATATCACTAGTTTCGTACTTTTTGTAACTAGGCTTGTTGTTAAAAATTTTTTTAATCCATAATAGACTCTATGTTCCAGATATATCCGTCTGTTAATTTCTGCACTTACTGCATTATTCTGATTAATTTGTGAGCCTAGGTATATAAACTCTCTTACTCCTTCGAAAGCATATGTTCCGGTCGTTAGATCTTCGGGTTGTACTGCTTGTATATAATTTGATACTTTCATATACTTCGTCTTACTAGTGTTAACTTCTAGTCCATTCTTTTTGTTGCTGCTTCAAGCGCCTTGAATGATTCGACCACGTCCTTTCTACTTGCAATAATGTCGATGTCATCGGCGTACGCTAGTAATTGTACGCTGCGATTAATGATAGTTCTTCTGGTTGTTATTCCAGATTCTCTTATCGCTTTCTCTAGTGCAATATTGAATATAAGGCATGGTAGGCTGTCTCCTTGTACTGCACTCTAACTTTACACTCGACTCTTGAGAGGGTTGCTTTTAACCAATTTTACTAATTTTACTAAGTAACTTACTAACTACAAACGAAGAAATAAATATTGAGGAGGAAGAGGTAAAGAAAGCATTAAGGAAATTAAAAAATAGAAAATCGCCAGGAGAGGACAGAATACCGAACGAACTCCTTAAGTTCAACTCCTTAAGTAACAAAATTCCTTAAGAATGGAGATCAAGCATCCTAATACCACTCTTCAAAAAGGGAGACAAGAGGAATTACTTAATTTGTTAAACAACACTAAAATTAACAACCAAAGTGATACCAAATAAATTGAATGAAATTATAACACTAGCAGAAGAACAAAAAGATTTTATGTCTGGAAGACCATGCACCGACGCTATATTTATAATGAGGCAAGTGCAAGAGAACTCATTAAAATACAACAAACCGGCATATCTATGTTTCGTGGATCTTACAAAGGCATTTGACCGGGTCAAATTAAAAGACGTTATCCACTTACTGTATGCAAGAGAGATACCTCTAGGAATAATCAAAACGATCGAAAATATCTACCAAAACAACACAAAAAAAGTAAAAGTAGAAGAAGAACTAACCGACCCTATTGAAGCTGGCAATGGGATAAGACAGGGAGATTCCTTGAGTCCTCTATTGTTCAACCTGATTATGGATGAAATAATAAAAAAAGTAAGAACTAAAAAAGGATACCAAATGGGAGAAAAACAACTTAAAATAATCTGCTATGCAGACGACGCAATACTAATCTATCAAAGTGAAGATGATTTACAACGTAATCTGCATCAAATTAATATAACCGCCAGAAAATTTAACATGTTAATTTCCCCAACAAAGACAAAATGCATGGTTACAACAGCAAATTTACTAAGATGTAAATTGGAGCTGGAAGGTCAGATAATAGAACAAGTGATGGAGTTTAAATATCTAGGCATCACATTATCTAGCTACGGAAAGCTCGAAACTGAAGTAGAAGATCAAGTGAATAGAGCAAACAGAGCCGCAAGCTGCCTAAATAAAACAATATGGAGAAATAAAATTATCGGGAAAAAATGAAAGGCAGAATTTACAAAACAGTCATCAGACCAATAATGACATACGCAACAGAAACAAGACCTGACACAGAGAGGAAAAAAAGGATGTTAGAAGCAACAGAGATGAAAACACTTAGAAAAATTGATGGTAAGACACTATGGGACAGAGCTAGAAGTACATATATACGACAAAGGTGCAAGGTGGAGAACATCAAAAACTGGGTAAGAAATAGAATAGTAGAATGGAACAATCATATAAGCCGAATGACAACAAATAGAGTAATAAATACGGCAAGAGACGGTTCCCCAATAGGAAGACGATCAGTAGGAAGACCACTGACCACTTACGGGAAGCACATTGAAAGAGTCATGTCTATATAAAGAAGAAAAACTTACTAACTATTTACCTAACTAACATAGCTAACTTATATCAACAACAGAAAGATAAAGTCGGAGTACAAACATGTACTTTAAGCATTTACTTTAAAATATATAAACATATACTTTAAGCAATTTAGCATACTACGAGGAGTTCGTCAGGGATGTGTTTTGTCGCCGATTTATATTATAAACCATTAATTATTTTTAAAGAATGAGATACTAGCAAGAAAAATTAGGAATTTCTGTGTAATTTGCGACTTAACATACACACTAGATTTCCATTGTCGGATAATAAGTGTTTTTAACTTTTTTGTATGGCGTGGAAGTTTGGACCTTGTCAGAGACCATCATTAAGAAAATACCTAACAGTTTTCGAAATATGGTGCTACCGTAAAATGTTACGAATATTGAAGACGGCAATGAAGCTGTCTTGCAACGAATAGGTCAACAACAAAAATTTATAACGGTCAAACTTTGGTTTGTCAAGTGAAGTTATACGTCGGTCATATAATGCAAACCAAATAAGGATACCAGGTAGACGACGTATTTCGTGCTTTACGAAATTTGTGACAATGGATCACAAAAACTTCGTTTGAATTATTTAGGGAAGCCGTGAAGAAGGTTTTGTGGTTTCGAGTGAGTGCCAACGTCCAATGAGGATAGTGTGATGTTTTAATACGTACCTGTTTATTTGAAACTATGGACGTATAAACACAGATGGACTCAGTTATTTACATAAAATTGTGAAGTCAAAATTATTTGAATAGGTCACATTCTGAGCACCTTCAACTGTTGTCACGTGTTGTTTTAAAATTTCTTATTCGCGAGTCGCTGAAAATATTACTCCGTATTTTATACTCTATAGGTGCTATCAAAACAAAATAATAATTTATTGGTTATATTAATATATTTAATTGTAATCAAAATCTCAAGTGTGCACATAGTGTGCATTATCATTTAATAATAGCGTATAATAGATATCAATCAATTATTTTATATGTAGAAGCACTGAAAACTATTTATAAATGGCAACGGTTGTTTACATTTCTCTGTCTTATGGATCTACGTCAAACTTCAAACGCTGTTCCATGTTTGTTTACTTTTTACAGTAAATGAGGAAAAAGTTATTTTTCGATATTTTGGCTGTATTTTGAGTGATATTTGTGAAAAGTGAAATAAAATAAACAAAATATTTACATCCCGATCTCTCATTTCATTTGTAAGTACATACAATTTACATTATGTAAGATGAGGAAATGAGGAAGCGTGTTTGTTTACATCTTAATAGGCGTACCATTGGGTTTATTCATGTTAATTAATGTATTGAATAAGATATGAGTTCATGAAATTAGTAGACATTTATAAATTGTAAGTAGACATCATCTGATTAAAAAAAAGTTTAGTACCTTTTTAATTCAATATTTTTCATGGATACAAATAAATTAGTGAAATGAATAAAACTCATTTATTTTTCTATGTAGGTTTCCAAATAATATTGACGATCGAACTATTTGGGTAGCAAATTAAGGAGAAAACATAAAGATT